TGTAAGTCTCTGCTGATCATGTATTTTGTTTTTCTGATATTTTTTCTGATCTTTTGTTTAATATACATTTTCAATTACTGAAACAACTTTAAAGTTTCTATTTTCGTTTCACTGCTCGTTTTTGTTTTACTTGTTCATTGACTACTGTTTTTGTTTGCAGGATCCATTTTCCGGTAACTGAATATGATCAACTACTTAAACTGAGTTACCTGGACTGTAAGATCAAATCAAATTGTCAAATATGTGTTGACACGGTCAAATATCTGACCGGAGTGAGTCCCTGTAATTGCGTATAAAAATTGCATCTTGTAAATTATCAAAAATAGATTTAAAGTTTCAAATTTTGTTGTTTTTGAATTTTAGAACATGGATCTTCTATTGTTTTTACTTGTTCATTCAGTTCCTGTTTCATATGTGCAGCACCCAATTTGCAGCAACTGTTCTTCCTATGGCATTGAGCACCCAAAGAGCCTCTGCATCTTTTCTTTCGAATGAATCAGCTTCTTTATGGAAGTATGATGTGTTTTTGAGTTTCAGGGGTGTAGACACCCGCAGGGGCTTTGTATCCCATTTACACCATGAATTGTCCAAGTGCCAAGGAATTACGACTTTCATGGACGATCGAGAGCTTAAAGGAGGAACAAGTATTCATCTTGAGCTCCCAAGTGCGATCAAAGAATCGCATATTGCAATTGTTGTGCTCTCACCGAACTATGCTTCTTCCAAATGGTGCTTGGACGAACTTACAACCATTATTCGATGCATGGAATCCAGGAACTCAGTTCTGCCGGTCTTTTATCAGACAGATCCATCTGACGTCGGAAATCAACGGGCATGTTTTGCCGAAGCCTTTACGAAGCATGAACAAAATTCGAGCAGTACCGAAGATAAAGAGAAGGTGGTCCAATGGAAAGCTGATCTAAAAAAAGTGTCCAAAATTTGTGGTTGGCACTCGAAGGAATCTAAGTAAGCATGCATGAACTTTAATTTCCTATGTCTTAGCAAAGTCAAAATTGGATGCTTCATTTATGTTTTTTTGATTGGTTATTTCATACCATGTAGGAGTGAAAGTGAGATTATACAACAACTCGTCAAAAGTGTGTGGAGGAAAGTGCAAGCTACATTCCCGTTGTTAGATCCCTCACAGGAATTAGTTGGGGTTAATTTTGGTCTTGAGCAACTAAGTTCGTTGTTAGCTCATGATGTCAATGATGTTCGCTTTATCGGGATAACGGGGATGGGTGGCATTGGTAAGACAACCCTTGCTAAGCTAGTTTATGATAGAATCTTCCATCATTTTGAAGTTCACTGCTTTCTCGGCAACGTTAGAGAGGTGTCTAACGTTGATCTTCAAAAAAGACTTCTTTTCCCGGTGTTGAGGGAAAAGATCGAAGAAATTTGGGATGGAGAGCACGGAATCATTTTCATTAAGAAGTGCTTACACAACAAAAAGGTTCTTCTTGTACTTGATGATGTGGATCACATAAACCAACTACAAGTACTAGCTGGAAAGGAAGATTGGTTTGGCATGGGAAGCAGAATTATCATTACAACTAGAAATGAACGTCTGCTAGTCGAGCATGGCATAACATTATATCATAATGTTGAGGTGTTAAATGATGATGAAGCTCTTGCACTGTTTAGCCTGCATGCCTTTAAGAAAAATATGCCCGAGGATGGGTTTTTGGAACTGTCCGAGTGTTTCATTAAATATGCTGGAGGCCTTCCATTAGCTCTTAAAACTTTTGGGTCGGCATTGTTTAAGAGAGGGCTAGATTTTTGGAATAGTAAACGGGATAATCTGTCAAAAATTCCTAATACAGAAATTATTCATAAACTTAAAATAAGTTATGATGAACTAGAAGAGATGGAGAAGAGCATTTTTCTTGACGTTGCATGTCTGCACAAAGGGAAGTACATAATGGAAGTAATTGAAATACTAGATATTTCTTTTGGAATTTCTAGTAGTACTATGATAGATGTACTAATTGAGAGATCTCTCCTCTATCAAGATCGCAACAATCGCAGTCATCACAACGAATGTATATGGATGCATGACTTAATACAAGATATGGCACATGAAATTGTTCGTCAAGAGTCTAAAGAGCCTGGTCAGCGCAGTAGGTTGTGGCTTTACGATGACATCGATCAGATATTTAGGAAGAATAAGGTAAGAAGTTAAATACCAAGTTTGGAAGAAGATACTGATTTCTTTTGACATTATATTAGACTTGAATGTGAAATTAATTTGTCCTTTTTTTCTTAATTGTTAGGGAACGGCAGCAATTGAAGCCATATCCTTACGCTTGTCCAACGTAGAAGAGGTGCCCCAGTGGAATTGCGAAGCCTTCTCTAAGATGGAGAGACTGAGGTTTTTGGAATTCAATAATTTGATCTTTTCTTCAGGCCCCAAATCTCTTCCATGTTCCTTGAGAATTATAAATTGGAGTTGGTATCCTTCTAATTTTCTTCCAACAAGCTTTTGCCCGCACTTGCTTGGTAAACTTGAGATGCGTAATAGCAATCTTGTTCGTTTTTTGGGGGGAAAAGTGGTAAGAGTAGTTATGAACAAAAGATAATATTGGTTACTCACTAGTCAATACTCACCTTTTGAGTTTGTCCAATGATATTTTAACACATTATTTTAAAAAATAATAGACATGTTATTTAATTTTTCTTGAGTTTTAAAAACAAGGAGCCCGTGACATTTTTTTATTGTACAATCCCAAAGGTTCCAAATTTCTTCCATATTCATTGAGAATAAATGCTATTTAATTTACAAAAGAATCATATATTTATTTATTATTTTGAATAAACTTTAAGGTTGTGAAAGCTAAGTATATAATCTGAACCTTATCGGTGGTGTTGTACAGGACTTGCCCAACTTGAAACATATTGATCTTAGATGCTCCAATAAATTGAAGAATACCCCAGATTTCAATGGTCTTCCAAATCTTGAGAAGTTGGAGCTTTCCGCTTGTAAGAATTTAGTTGAGATACATCCGTCTATTGCAGTCCTCAAAAGACTTAATGTTTTGCAACTTGATGGCTGTGAAAGCATTAAAAGCCTCCCAAGTAAGGTTGAAATGGATTCTCTTGTATATTTCAATCTTGGTGGTTGCTCAAATGTGAAAACGATTCCAGAATTTGGGGAGCAGATGAAGAATTTATCGTCGCTCACGTTAGACAACACTGCGATCGAGAAAATACCTTCATCAATTGGACATGCGGTTGGCCTTCGGCGTTTTAGTCTACGGAAATGCAAAAATCTCTTGTACCTTCCAAGGGCTATTTGTAATTTGAAATCTCTTGAAGAGCTCGATGTAATTGGATGCTCAAAGATTGACAAACTCCCAGAAGACATGGATCGCTTACGGTGGCTTAGAGTGGGACCCACTATGACAAAGCCGCTTGTGGGTATGAAAAATCTCAAAGGTCTAATATTTACGATGAGTAATGTTAAAGCCACTTGTGGATCAGATGGTAAAGCAAGGGATGGGTGGGGCCTTCGCCGCTTATTTGGACTTGAAAAGAGTCCCCCTGATCCTCCTCTTTGTTGGCATTTGGTGTTGTCTTCTCTAAATCGTTTATGCTCTTTGACATACTTATGTCTATATAATTCTAATCTCCAGGAGGGGGATATCCCCGATGATATTGGCTCCTTGACCTTATTGGAAACATTGTGTCTCGACAGAAATAATTTCGTCAGTCTACCTGAAAGCATTAGACACCTTTCTAAGCTTAGGGATCTTCATCTGGAGGGGTGTAAAAGCCTTCAAAAATTGCCACCTCTTCCATCAAACAAAGGATTAACGGTAGATCTGGACAATTGCATTTCCTTACGAAGTTTGTCAGGTGCATTCAATTTGTATTTTGCTGGTGTCACTTGTCGGAATTGCATTGCACTGGTTCCAGATGAAGACTTGATTAATAGGTTTCTGAAATCTGTCATTCAGGTACTCTCTCTCTCTCTCTCTCTCTCTCTCTCTCTCTCTCTCTCTCTCTAAATAATTGATCTTTCTTCTGCTACAGGGATCGAAAATTGTAATCCCTGGAAGTGAAATTCCAAAGTGGTTCAATAATCAGAGTGTGGGAGATTCAATAAATGTGGAGCTTCCTCCACCATCATGTACCAACTGGCTTGGGATTGCCTTCTGTATTGTTTTACAATACCAAGACCCTTTACAAAATGTGGAGCTTCCTCATTATTTTCGTTTCAGAATTCACTGTTCAGTGGAACTTGTTAGCCCTGAAAAACTTGGCCCAGAATACCGTTGGACTACCTTATTATTACCGTCTCTTGTGTCAAAAAACCTTTGGTTATTTTATTTTCCTCGTCATTATTGTTTGCCTCGTGAAGATTGTCATCAGGTACAGTTTTTATTCGGAATTGACTTTCGTGATATTGATTGGAGAGAACTAAAAGCAAACTTGAATATGGTGAAGAAGTGTGGGGCTCGTTTGGTGTACGAGCAAGATTTGAAAGAACTCAACCAAAAACTACTGAAACGAACATGCGAATATCGTGACGAGGCAGCTTTAAGTGGACCCGGAAGTGCTAGCTTCAACCACACAGAACAAATTTGCAAAAGGCGTTGTAATTAGTCACCATGTCACAAAAAATGCAAGTAAGTAACCATCGATTCATCACATCAGCATAATTGTCATCAAAATTATTTTTTGTTTCGACATCTTAGTCAATGTAATCGATCTCTCGAGCTATATATTAAGATGGCTTTATTTACTGAAAGGGCAGAGTGGATAAGAATGTTGATGTATAAACACTTTTGCAGATTACTTGGGCATTAAGAAGATTGATTAACAATCTGATCATCTTGCCTAATGCAGCAAGTGGGTACCTTGGAAACTCGCAACGCCATGGGGGCTGCTCTGTCAGTCCAGATCTTAAGGTTCATTTTCTGAAGACGCCATTAGCGTTAACATGTAAACCAGGAGTTGATTTGTTTCTGTCTGATTTTGTAACCAATGCAAACTTGTAGTCCAGAAACAGAAACGTTGCTAAGGAAACAACACTTTTTGCTCAACAACTTTGGTTTGATTAAAACTTGGCTTTGGTGATGCAAAAACTAAGCATTGAAAGTGTTGTGCCTGACATCATTGGTAGGTTTTCAGCTGAATTTGCATACCCTTTCAAAACCCTATTTACTAGGTCGTCTTGATGTTTAACCTTCATACTAATTTTTATTTTTATTTTTTGTCAAAAGCAAATCATACTAATTAACTCAGCTAAGAAATATTCAAATAATCCCAGACCTAACAGACTTGTGTTGAGATAAGGATGAATCACACAGATAACAAACCTGAGAGTATGATTGGAAACTAGAAGTCTGAGTTGGTCTGACATCCCTCGGCAAGCTGACAGATCGTAGCACAACTGGAAGCTTGAACACCAGCAGTTTAAATCGAAATAAAATTCACTAGTAGCTCACCTCTAATCACCTTCTCCCTGACATAATGATAATCAACTTCTAAGTGCTTGGTTCTCGAGTGGAAAACTGGATTGGATGCTAAGGCAATGGAAGACAAATTATCATACCAAATCTGTTATCTTAGAAGATTCTAATGTATGTCCCTAAACAACGAACATAACCAAGGCACCTCAGCGGCAGTGTATGCAAGCTGCCTATATTCAGCTTCAGTGCTAGATGTGGAAACTGTTTTCTGTTTCTTCGAACTCCATGATATTAAGTTTTTACCCAAGTATACACAGAAGCCTCCAGTTGAATGGCGTGTGTCTAGGTTCTCTACATAATCTGAATCAGAGAAAGCAGTCAATTGTACACCTCCAGGTCTATAAACAAGACCCTGATCATAGGTAGCCTTCAAATAACGTAGGATCCTCAGTGTTGCTGGGCGAATGTAAGGACTGACACACTTGGTTCACAACATAAGAAAGATCAGGTCTCGTAATGGTCAAATAATGTAGGGCACCTACAACACATTGGTATAATTCAATCCCCAAAAGCACTCAGTTTTTGTCCAGAAGAAACTGGAGTCCAGATTGGCTTGGCATTGGTAAATTTAATGCATTTGATCACCAGAGCAAGTTACTTCAACACCTAGGAAGTAGTTGAGAGGACCCAAGTCCTCCATGGAAAATGAAGTGCCCAGTCTCTTTATCAATCGAGCCATTTGATAAGTGTTGTTTCCTCTGAGCAATATATCATCCACATAGATTAGTAAGGTGAGATATACTCCTGTTTGATTGAACACAAACAAAGAATAATCACACTTGGATTCTTGAAATCCCAATTGAAGCAAGAAATCAGAGAATATCTGAAAACAAGCTCTCGGCGCTTGTTTTAACCCATATACACTGCTGCAACTTGTAAACATGGTGCAGGTACTGCTTGTCAATGAAACCCGCTGTTTGTTTCAGATAAACTTCCTCAGTGAGATAACCACGCAAGAAAGCGTTCTGGATGTCCAACAGCCTTACATGCCCCTTCTTTGACACTGCCAAACCAAGCACAAGCTGAATGGGACTGTGCTTTACAGCAGGACTAAAAGTCTTGTCGCAGCCAATCCCTGGTCTTTTTATGAAAACCACTGGCCATAACCTCGCCTTATGTCTCTCGATTGAACCATATGCACGTCGTTTTATCTTGCATACCCACTAGTTTGGAAGAAGATTCATGGTGGGATGATAAGGAACAAGGCTCTAGGTACCATAGCGCTGCAAAGCACTAAATTCTTGAGCGGCAGTTTTCTCAAGAAAGAAGATTCATGTTAAGTTACTAAACTTCAAATTCAGTGATAAATACCGCATCTGACACTCGTTATCTTCAAACAATTGCCTGCCGGAACCAGCGCGACGACCAAATTCGAAACCTATCAACGTTTAACTTACAATTAGCTAAATTCTTAATGCTTAAAGATTTAGTTTCCTTTTTCTCGTAGCGCTAATCCACCTAGACTGTAAAAAATTAAGAAAGTAATAGGCATGATAATCTATCTGATCATAGTTAACTACCGTTTGGTTCCTGAGAAATCAAAGGAAAAATTTTCAACTTGTTCTTGTAATCTCAGTTTTTCAACTTCCAAAAACAAGCAAGAAACTAAATGAACACAGATGCAAATACACACACATTTACATAAATTGCATACAAACATATATGCATATGTGTGTGTGTGTGTGTGTGTGTGTATTTATGCACACTACAGATGAGATGGGGACCTGGAGAGTGGGAACGTTGAAGGCTGCCTCTGGCAGGGGCAGGACAAAGAAAAGAGGAGAAGCTGCGAGAGGAAGAGGATGGAAAGAGCAAGCTCCATTCTGTGATCTTTGAGGTTGACGATGGAGACGATGGAGCTGGATTCAGGTAGCCATTGTCTATTTCTATGGGAAGTTACTAGCTGTCGAATGATTTTGGAAGTAATTATCTAAATGTTCTCTTGTATTTACCAACTCGTAAAAACTCGGAAAAATGTTTCTTTAAATTCGTTATCAAATACCTAAAAATAAGGAAGCACATCAACTAGGGGGGCTAGTTGATCCGATTCCCCTTCCTTACTTTTTATATTTTTTAAGTTCTTTCGTTCCTTCATTTTCTCATTCCTGATAAGTAAATATTGAATTAAGAGTTAAATGGATCCAATGTTGCATATTGTGTTTATGAACGAGCCTTGGTAGGAGTCACGGTCTAATCCTAAGCGAAATTGTCACGTATATAGGGCCAATGTTTTAATGTTTAGGCTCATCAAAGGGTCAATTCGGTTTTCCTACCTCTGACTCTCTAAGTTGATCAAGTACTCAAAGTAACGCTCAAGGAATACTTCATTTGCACAACATGATAACAATAATAAGGAAATACAATGGAGGGGTTTAGTAGAGAGGCTGCTTGTGGCGTAGTAAACATTAATTTAGGTCTTGAGGACAAGAGACAATGTAGACCAATCTCTTATGACAATTGTTGAATTGAATTTAGAAAGTCAGAAGTGACAAAACATTTCCTCATGTTGCTACCAACTACGAATCATATATGATCAATTGAAGAAAGAAGATAAGGTCGATGAATGATTAAGCGAAACTTGGCCTTAGAGACCAATGAAATGCGACCTATAAGCTTTATTACACAGAAGTACTTTGAAGAGCTATTCTTCTGCTTCCATGCTTACTTTTTCTATAGGTCTTGAGGACTAAAGCAATGTTGACCAACCTCTTGTGACAAATGTTGAATAGAATTTAGAGTCAAAAGTGACAAAATATTTCCTTATATTGCTATCAACTATAGATCAGATATGACCAGTTGAAGAAAGAAGATAAGATTGATTAATGATTAAGCGTTATTTTACTTTAGATACCAATAAAATACGATTGAGAAATTTTATTACACAAAAGTTATTTGAAGACCTCTTGCTTCTGCTATAGGTCTTGAGGACTAGAGGTGATCTTGACCAATCTCTTATGACAACTGTTGAACTGAATGTAGCCATCAAATTTTGTAGCCTCCTCCAACCATCACCCAATTGAACGTAGCCATCAAATTTGAGTTATTCCAACTATTGCTCTTGCTTGTAAAGAATGAAGTTAATTCGTCAGCAACTGCATCATGCACTGTGTTATCTTCAGTCGTCCACTATTTTTCAAACCATTGAGGTTTGGCTTTAGTTAAAGCATCTTCAAAGGACATGTCAAAAGATAAATGTCAAATGTTAATTTGATGGCTGATGTGTTAATATCATATTTTCTCTTTTTTCAATCGATATGTTTTTTTTGTGATAAATGATATTTGTAGGATCCATTTTAAAAAGAAATCAATTAGAGTACATTTTTCAAGATCTATAATCGGTGCATTAATAGGACCCACATAATAAAATAAAATAAAAAATTAACATCATATTTTCTCATATGTCAAATTTGACATATGAAAACTCATATCTCAATCTACATAGGATTGACATATCGATTGAACTCACTTATATCTTTAAATTTAATTACATGAAATTTCACCTAAGATTTAACATCTCTTTTGGAGATGATCATAGAGGTGATCCACATCAAAATGGGCAACCAAGAAATGTCAAAAACTCTGGACACGTGTAAGGCTACTTTACCAACACCTAATGCATTGCATGTCAATATAAATGATCTGGATCGATCTCAATGGTTAATTATTCTTTGATTGCACTGTTAATCAACTTTGTTAAAATAATGACACAGTTCAGCTACTGGTATTGATTCAGCTTGTGGTATTGAGCCGCAGACAAACGACCACCGATTCCTTAATTTTATAATTAGTAAATTGTTAGTGCAGACGATGCATAATATATTCCTTCATCATGGAGCCTCTTTTGTCTTTGTCGTATCGTTCTACAGTCTTCTTAAGGGAGGGGTCGATTCGATTCCCATGGGGTAGATTTACAGTGTTAACTCTTTGGGGCTTTTGGATCTAGTCCAAAAATATAGGTAGTTTTTGGGATTGGATCCAATTATCCAATTACATATTTTGATATTAATTTTGTTTCTTTTGACAAAAATATTTAATTTTTTTTATCTTTTTTATCAATTATTCAGTTTTTAAATTTTGAATATTTAAATACTCAAACTAAAATATTATCTAGTAACTACTAACTACCTACTATTTACGAAGAAAAGAAAACCGATATAATCTAGTAACTACGTACCTATTCTATAGTAAGAAGGATGTTTTATACCTACAAAGCATATATAATCTACCTGCAAAACAAAAATAAACTACCTATTGTATTGGAAGAAAATTTTTGGGAACCAACATGGTGGAACATAGAAATATAAATATGATATAATATACCTCCATGAAAGGAATGAATTTGGAGAGAAGAACACACAAATATCACCCATGAAATGAAGAGACAAAAAAGAGGAGGATTGATTCCATGATCTAACAAAGGGAATTGTGTGGAAGAAGGAAAGAATGAGGGATGAAACGGACTGGGGGTTGAGGTGATTATATTGCTATAACTAATCCTACAATTAAGGGATTAGTTAAACCACAAATAATCCCATAATTAAGAAATTTTGTGTATTTACTGCAATTCGTAAGCTTAAGAAGTAAATATGGTACAAACAAAAAATAAGCATACATAGAATCCCAATTATTGGACCTATTTCAAAGAAGTGGACTAATCCTACTAATGGCTCACAAAATTGGATCTATATCAAGTTATCCCTAACTCTCTTTATACGTACTTGTATTTTTCTTATATCTTAATTCAATGAATGTTTGGTGAGTTTTCAGGTGTTGTTAACTAAGAACCTGAAAACAAAACAGTTATCAAATTATCATTGATTGGAAACAGTAGTAATATTTATGATAAAAGATATATATTATTTTGTACCAATAATATGTGATTGTTAGTTCATTAGTGTAGATAATATTATTTGTTAAAAAAAATGTAAACACAAAAATATATATAGTGTATTCTTTAGAGCTCTCTCTCTTGTGATATTTACATTCATATCATCATACTACTAAATGACGATTTTTTTCTTTTCTTTTTGGTTAACATAAAACAAATAAAGGATTCCACCTGAATAATTTTAGGGCAGAACGGATTAAAGAAATTATGAAATGAAAAACGAAACAAGAAATTAAACAGTGGAAAGAAAAAAAAATACAAATAGGAAGAATCACCCCCTTAACTGGAACTTCATCTATGGTTTGAACACGAAATATGAGATATAAATAAAATATTATTATTGTTTACCAGATAATTTTCGAATGAGGATCTTCTTTGGCTTCTCTTTGTGAAAATTCTTAGGATTCTCTAATTACATTCATTCATTGTATATTGTGCGGTTAATTTTCATCACGTACTATTTATATTTAATTTTAAATAAAAAAAATTTACAATAATTTATGATCACATGATATACAATGAACATATGTAATTGAAAGATTTTTAAGATCCTCACAAACAAGATTCGAAGAGGATCCTCATTCATAATTTTCCATGAATTGGGCATGCGCATAGGTATGATTTAAACCAAAGTTAAAATACTATTTTTCTGGTAAATGTTATCGACACGTAAAAATACACGTCTTATAACAGCATATCCCTTACTCGAACGGGGCATATTCGCTGGCCAATAGAAACCCGCCACGTATGTTGGTATGATGGTGTAGCGTCATGATCATCTACATTTCGAAATCATCATCGATGATTCATTCATTCAAATTCAATCACCTTCCCAAAGCGGAAAGGACGAATGGGCCCGGAGGCTGCCACTAGCAGGTGGGACCCACACGGATCACGAGCCAAGTGGGGAGAAAATGGATGAGCGGAGCCCGGAAGGAAGGGAAGGAAGATATATTGCTAGCACAGCGTTGCGCCACGTCGCTTAAACACAATATTTGTGATGACTCGGTTATTATTAACTTGTGTATATCTGGAACTGCTCGCTGATTGGCTGGTGGAGGAAGAAAATATCTTGGCGCGATGCTCAGCCACACACACGACCACGAGATATTTGTGTCCCTGACCGACCGTCAAGCGCTGCTGCCCGCTCCTTCGCACCCACGCATCCCTCCACGCGTCGCTCTCTTTTGGGACTTGCTTTTCTCGGCCACAGCTGGGTTGCCGGGTTTTCCTCTTGAGTTGCATAAGCTGGAATTGTCGAAGGTTCGGGAATTTCTTGCAATTTCAGCTTGTGCAACTCATTATTCTCGGCGGGGGCTGAAACTCGACAGCTTAGCTATGGTTCTAATAATTTAATGTTAATTTTTATATCAGTATTATAAATATTATGTTAAAAATATGAAATGACACATAGTTCATAAAGGCTTTCAACTTTGAAAGAATTTCCTTTAGCATTTCTCGATTAAAACTTATCCAACTAAAATAAAAAACTATTTTAAGTAACTTTCATTTTGTTTTTGAGATATGCTAAGAAAATTCTCTCAAAGTGGAACTCATCATGAACTTTCTGTTACTCACAATATAATATTAATTTTTGTACCAAAGTTATAAAATATTATGCAAAAAACATATGATGATAGAGAATTCATGAAGAGTCTCACTTTTAAAAGAATATCGTTAATTTCTCTTTGTTTTTTCTCTCCCTTCCACAAATCTCTTTTTCATACATCATTCATTTCATAATATCGCAATTATAAAAATTAAAAAAAACTAAAGTTAAAAATAAAATGCTAATCAAACGAGCTTAGAAAATAAAAAGCATAAACAAAACAAAAAGTCAAAATTAATGATTACTCACCATTATAGTCGACGCATTTTTTCCTTTTTTCAACAATTTCTCCTCGGATAAAAGTAGCACTAAGATTAAAAAACTAAAAGCTAGATTCACCAAATTGCGTGTTTTATTCACTTGAGATGCAAAGTGGTTTTCTCCTGTTGATGCTATAAGAGTTGCATAAGTAAAAAGGCTAGACGGCAAAACGACATGCACCATTTGATGAACAATAAACGTGTTGAAGTGGCACACTAATTTTGATAAGTGGTTCGCACTTTCACGAGTCAATCCAAATACAATCGTATGGGTTCTCTCTCAGCCCACTACCATATTTTATGCATTAATATTGACCAATTTGCTTTCATGCCTACCTGGTCAACTAGATATTTTTTTTTTATCCCTACACGGTCAACTAAATAGTTATTTTATTAACACCCTCTAATAAAATTGAAAGCATGCAACTTTACATATAGTCAACCAAAAGTTGTTCTAGGTAATGGAAGTCTGTGTGTGAAGGCACAAATGAAAAACACATTATTCCTGCACTCTGTTATTTTTGCGGTTCATCGACGTCCATTTTTAACATGAACCTATTTTTTTTACTAAACAAGTTGGACATGAAGTCATTGGATATTTCTTCCCATTACTTTATGAAGT